TAAAATAACTAAATAAAAAAGATTAATTTTTGCTGAGGGTAGCCACATGCTTGAAAATTTCAACTTTATGATAACTAGAATATAACAGTGAATTCCATGAATGTGGGAAAAAATCAAATGCTTAGTTAGAGTTTGGTTCCCTGCATATTTTTGGATAAGATTGCCATATACACATTTCGAATATGAAAAGATATGTTTCAGTGATATATACTTGCCGTTGGGGTTGCCAACTATTCTATAAATTAAACGCATATTCAAACTGTTTTTTAACAATGCTTATGATATCAAAGTAAAGTTAAAAAATTCAAAAAATTTAGATTTTTTAATTTTGGGAATTATGACCTTCTTTCAGATAACAAATTTGAGTAACTAATAAGCTCTCAACCTAAATAAAATAAGTAAAAATTCCAAACGCATAATATTTATCTATATTTGTTTGACCCACCCTAATATACATAATCGGCACATATACGAACTCAGTGCTGAATGCACATTCGTATTTCGCTATCAGTTGACTTGGTAGCGATTCAATCAATGCAATCTATGCCTTCAATCGAAAATTAACCCTTCAGTGGTTGAGTGTATTTTTCTCCTTGTTTTTGGATTTTCAATTTTCGTGCCAGCTGCTGCTTCAACAACAGATTTCTATGCCTATACCATAAAACACAAATCAACGTTCGAGCTATGGCCCACCGTGGTGGCGTATACTCCATTTCATACGAGTGTGTTCCACAAAGCGAGGTATACATATAGGCGCATGTTGATACTTAACAATTCCCATAAGTTAACATACAACCACACTTCCTAGCTCATCAACACATATTTTCTTTACATTTTTCCTGAGGCCACATCTGCATGCTGTGCCTTTACACGTCTTTTCTTTTAACTACGTGCAGCACAAACTCCTTAAGAAAGTGCCACAAACCAGCCTACATATTCGCCTGCAGCATGCTTCGGTCGCATATTTTTTATTTATTTATTTATTTTTTTAATTTTTTTTATACACTAAGCATATTTTTTATTTGTTATTTGTTGTCCATTTCGTATGCTCTTTCGTTTTTTGTTGTTGCCTGTTCACTTCGTTTGCTATTCGTAAAGCAAGCAACCGACTGAGAAACCGACCGACATACCATTGCATCCGATTTTTTCGCCCAGTGCACATTGTTGACCTATATTTGGGCATCAATGAATCCGGCTTGCAAGAGGCCATAACCATAGAGACCGCTTCGCTTCCATTATCGTTAACATTGGCAGTTCACATGCCGCTTGCCTCTCACTTTCATTACATACTACAACATTGTGGCCTATCTGTGTATACATATGTGTGTGTCCATGTCCTGTTTTGTCGTCATTAATTTATAGGTTAGTGCATTTTTCAAAAGCTTTCTCTCAGTGGGTGTAGAAGAGAGCGCTTCAGGCTTTCCAGTGATGCTCTTAGTTTTAGTTACTTTAAACGAAAGGGTTGACTCTCTTCAGTAGAAAAATAAGTTGTGATAAGCCGTCAAATCGGTGGCTGTTTGATTTGAACTGTGAATAGGTAGAAAATGTAAGCGAATTTTGAAATTTTTGTTTCATAAAAATGTGTCATTGCTAAAAGTGCTGTTTGTAATGAAGGAAAATATTGGGAAATTTCTTGAATTTTGAGAAAATAACTTATTTTTCTAAAAACTTTTAGAATTATTTTTCTTTAATTTTATTATTATACACTTTGGATGTACTGACTAGTGGCTCTGGAGAATGCTTCAAAGTCCTTCCGAAACTTTTTCCGTTCACAGTGGAAAAGGCGTTTGCTATTCAGTTCACTAACTTTTACTGCAAAGTTTCACAATTATTTAAGTAGCTTTTTAGCTTTGAAATTCTTAGGTGCGTGTTAGAGTCCAAGCCGAGTGAACATTATTCCACCAATTGTTGCTTTTCTTCATTGTTGGCGCCAGTTGAAAATACCAAGTGATCGCTATCAGCTTCCGACGGAATGGAGAATCTTCTGTTTCTCTACTTCCCCCAGCGGATACTGCACCAAATACTGGAGATGCACTCCAGTCTCCCTTCGGGCAACATGACCTACTTTGAATAATATCAATATAGCCCGTTTGTTTCACCTTCCTTAGGTACTGTACGTCAGTTTTCGGTGCTCGCCATAAATATCATAACTGTCCACTCGAAGACTCCCACAGCCGACTCAGCGGATATGGATATCGTCCCCGCTTCTATACCCTATAGCAGAACGGGAGCCGAATAGCGAAAGCGTAGACTATTTGTTTGATGACAAGACATATTTCATATTGTCTTCATTCACTACCAGACTTCGCCTCTTTATCCAGCTAACTAACAGCGTAATTGTTAAGGCCTATGATATCAAAGTTATCGGAATACGCCTGAAGTTGTACACTCTTATAATAGATTGTACCTTGCCTATTTAGCTCTGACGCTCTTATTATTTTCTACCGCATCCAATTGAAGAGTTCACATGATAAAGAGTCACCCCGACTAAAACCTCGTTTGGCATTGAACGAGTCGGAGAGGTTCAAGCTTCAGATTACGCAGCCGTATGGGCTTTTCATGCATACAAATTTAAGACATCGCGACATAGAGACAGCTACTTATTGTGCTTTCGAGCTGATTCGCGCTGATTCGATGAAAAAGAGGTGTGTGATGATTATTTTTTAACGGGTCTTCACATTGATAGGTATAGGATATATTGGGATATTGAGGAGGCTTACCCGCAGACTGAGTAGATTGGGCGGAACGTACCTTAATTTCAATCATCGAACATGCTGCCATCCGACCGTTCGCAAAAAAGCTACTCGCTGTCAGTACTTCGCTGTCATGTTTGAATAGCTTATGCCAGTTGTCTCAATCTCACAATAAGACACATGAGGATTGCAATATCAATTTGGTCATAGCATCAGTAATTAGTAGAACAGCAACTGACTTTGGACGACCCTCACAAAACTCGTTTAGGAGTTTTCTATGACCTCGATTGAATTCTCTACTCGTGATAAAGCTTCATCTCTATCCTTGATAAAGCTCAACAACGTTTACAAATCGTTCAACTTTATTACGAAAATTCACCTTCAGTAAAGAAAGTGTTTCGTGCGTTTCGCTCATCTAATGGCCAAAATTATAGGTCTACTAAGCGTACCATTTGTAGCACCACCACCGATCTGGAGACCCAGCATTCATTACAGGATTATATTCAACCGTTCAACATGCAGTGGAGAGTCAATTCGGTACCGTTTGCAGCAACCCGGACTAACGTATGGAACGACTTGGTGCATTTTACATCGAGATCTTAAATTAATAGCGTACGCTTGTGCAAAAACCGACCTTTCCAAGCGATATCGCTTCGCTCTATATGCTCTTGAAAAGTTCCAAGACGGTCCAAGTTTGGTACAACGATTAGGCTCATTTATGGCTCAATCGGTATGTAAACAACCAAAATTGTCGCATTTGGTATGGTGGAGTCATCGGACCATATTTCTTCAAATATGCTGCCGGTAAGAACTTAACCGTCGATGGAAAGTGAAGCCCGTGATCTCGGTGACATTTGGTTTCAACAAGATTTCCCACACGCCGCATCAATCAATTGAGTTATTGAGAGCATACTTGGGTGAGAATCTAATTTCACGTTTTTGGACAATCGATTGGCCACCAAAATCGTGTGCTATAACACCGTTAGACTTTTTCCTATGGAGATATGTAAAGCCTAGAGTCCATGCGGATGCCTGCTTCGATTCAGGCCTTGGAGCCAAACATCACGCTTTTCTTTCCTCAGTTACCACTCGAAATATTTGAACGAGTCGAATATAGGACTCAACGAATGGACCATCTGAAGTGCAGCCAAGATTTGAAAGAGATAATCTTCAAGAAATAAATGCCAACGAATGTTTTTTCGAATGCTAATCAAAACATTCCCCATTAAATTCTAAATTTTTTTGTGTTGTTTTTTTTCGTTAAAAAAGTTGGGAAATTCGAAATAGTTCACCCTTAATAATTTGTTCTTCAAAAACCGCCGAAACGAATTTCGGCCGAGTTCCTTCTTCAATTTGTAGTATGCATTTTGATCTTTCTCCCACAAAATGGAGGGACCTACATTTTATTAGCAGCAATTACAAAAATTAATTCAATTTCTTATTTAAATTAATTTTCTATAAAATTTTGTATTGTTGGTCTGACCAGGAATCGAACTCTAGCTTTACGAGTGACGGTACGCAATGCTAACCACTCGACCATCGCGACCGACTATTTTGCTATAGTGTTATGCCTCAAATACGGTATTACACTCTCCCTCTTCCTCTTCCTTTTCCTTTCCTCTTCCTCTTTCTTTATGGCATTCAAACGTCATCAATGCGCTGCAATTTTGCTGGAAATTTTCCTCTTTTTTTCCCCATCAATCGTACTCTTCTCTTAGGAAAGTAAATAAAATATATAATCATTTAACAACAAAACAACAACAAAACACTGCAACAATCAGCTGTGACCGTCCAGAAACACGTTGTAACAAATGCGTACATATAAAAAACGCAGGAAATGTTCTCAAAAAGCAAGCAATGGAGAAAGCTTTTAGTACGAGAGAGTAAAAAGCAAATGAGCGCAAGTTAATACAATATTACTGGAAATTCAGAAACAACTCTCACGGCATACACACATCTCTGTCTCTACTGGAGAATGTGTATCAAATACTCATACATCTTCTTCTTCTTTTTGCTCTGCTCGTACATACTCGTACGTAAATGTGCTTTTGCTGGCGCAAGAGGTCAGCGGAAACAGCGGTTGTTGTTGCTGGTGTCAGTGGAATATAAACTTTATGGATACACTCGCTACGCAAGCAAACACCAACAAAAGCACACATTCGCTTTAGCTCAGTTTTTCTCGTCGTCACAGCGCCAAGCAGAAGGAAGCAGAGGAATTTTTCATTGCAGCCACGCACATACACTTTCGTTGTATCTTACGGCCAGAGGCCGCGCTCGCTCATTCAATCATTCAAGTTAGAGTCACAGGGCGAAGTGGACGTGTCGACGGATGTGGAATTTAGTTCTCGTTCACAACGGTATTGCAATATTAACCTACTATGAAGTATGGCATAATTTTTGTTTGAAAAAAAAGGAAATTAATAGAAATTTTCGCAGAATTTGTGCATTGAAAAAGGAATTTATTGATTACACCTGCAAGCTGTGTGTGTTTTAAGTGGAGAAAGTGTATATTTTTAGTGTTTTTTTTTTCCAAACAAAATTGTGCAAGGAAGTCTTCTAGCTAGCTTTCTACTGTGTATGCGCTTGTATGGATGTGTGTGACTGTGCATGTATGTACATGTCAATACAGCATACAAGCAATTGTATCGAGGCATACATACATTTGCTTGTTTTTGGAAATTGAAAGCAAACATTATTTTCTGAATTAAAGAAAGTGTAAAATAAACTTAAAATTCAAGACAAATGCAGTAATTTGTATAAAACATTCATTTGCTTAGAACATTAAAGCGCCTAACACGTCGTGTAGTAAATTCTAGCATTTATAAAGAGCCAATATTGCTTTAGATTAATGTGGGAAAAATTAATTTTCTCGCAGCTGTCGAAGAGAGAAAAATAAAAAATTTTTTTTACGTTATTTTTCTTATTCATATACACTGCCATTGAACTGGAAAATCACAGCTATTTGCGCGCTCTCTATCACCGCGCGCTCCCACTCACTCTCTTCGCTGCTCGGTGATTGTTTGATAGATGTCATTGCTGCAACAAGACAAGTGTGAGGCAGCTGGAGCGGTATTGACGGCGTGTTAATGAAAGTGTATTAAAAAAGGAACTCTAACAAAACGTGTGCAGCAGCGCATTTTTTTTACAAATATTTTTTTGTAATAAAAATTAATTTAAATTTTTCGTGAAATTAAATATCAGAACAAAAAAATCACAAATACAATCATATTTTTTTCTAAATATATGAAGCTACAAAATTGTTTTAAATATTTTTTTTTTCCTGCCTTAAATGTGTTATTTTTGAAAAATATATTTGTTTTACAGTTCAACTCCATACAATGGCGCTTTAGTGTATCATAAATTTCATATATACTAACGCATACATAAATATCAAATATATCGGCAAAAGCATTCATTCAATTTATGTAAGTATGTATGTGTGCTTGTATACGTGTATACCGTAATAACAAGATAATAAGGATAAGCACATAAAGCGGAGCAAAAAGAAGAAACATAACAAAACACACACATATGCAAACACAATATGGTAAAGCAGTTGTTGTAGAAAGTGTATTTAAAAAAAAGCAAATATTGAACTCAACTGTTGCAGTAAATGAATGGATATCGGTTGCAGGTGAGCTTGTTATTATTAGTTATAAAATTTTAAAGCTATTTATAGATTGTATATATGTTTAGATGTGTATTACAATTTTTATATATATGCATATTTATAATATGCAAAAAATCTGTATTATTTTTATACATACATCGTGTAATAAGAGTTTCTTTAAATATACACATAAAGTCTATATCTACTCAGTTCTGTATTTATTTGAAGATTTTAATTAATATCAGCCTAAATGTAGGCAATATTTTTCTTGCAAAAGTTCATATTAATTTATCTTTAGCAAGTTTTCAAGGCTTCAAAATTTGCAGCTTGAAAATATAAAGCTGCATAAATTTATAATCAATTAATTAGAAAAAAATGAACTGTCAATCTCTTCATATTTTCAGCCTGAATATAGACAATGCTCTCTTCTTTATTTCACTTTTTTCCTAACAATTTATTTTAGTAAATTTAATAAGAAATTTCTGTTAAGATTATTTGTTACCAACTTCATTATAAATTGCTTTGTATTGGAAGTTTAAATTAATTTAGTAATTTTGTTTGTGTTCAAAAAAGAGTTTTTTATTCAAAAAAAATTTTAAAATTGCATTACTCAAATAATACGTCTGTTAGAAATACGTCGCTTTTAAAAAAATTGAACCCAATCTCCTCGATCCAATCATTTAGTCATTCTTGGATTTGTATTAAATAACCGAACCAGTAAATCCCAAATTGTTTAACATCCATAGATGAAGCCAACAGATGGAAGAAACCACGTCTTGAGAACACGGCGGGTGGGCTGAAACCTGTCGTCTGCGTTTCAGATAGTTTTTGGTCGTTACCGCCTCGTTGGACCGAGCGTTGTCAATACACGACTCAAACGCATATTTCGCATCAACGGTTTACCAGCTCAGTAGCAGTATACCTTATCCGTCTGGTCTCGCCATACGCAGAGCATTACCTTTGAACTGTTAATTCTTGACGTCGGTGTAGACGATGATAGAATGAGTTTATCAGGCTTCACATAGTCGTTTTTCCTCTTAGGCCGGTGCGGTGATCCCTTCCTTTGATGGCTTTCATGTAGCAGTTCCTAGGTGAAAAATTGCCCTGCTTGAAATCATATTTTTTATTTTTGAATAATTCTAAGAAGCTCTTATTGCACGGTAATTGTTTGCTGAGAGACTCTCAACACTTCTGCGAATTCAGTTTATATTCAGCACTGATCTTCACCTAGTAAAACCTCGAGTTCTTCGTTTTCAAATTCTTTGTGTTGGTCAGAACGCTCTTTGTTGTTTAAAATCATCACCTTTAAAGCATCAAAAGCATAAAAACCAATCTTTTCATGCTCTAGATGAGCTTCAGCTGCGCTTTTCTTTTCCAACTAAAATGAAAAATCGAAAAATCCCGCAATTGCTGTCTCTTTAACACAAATCTGGATGTTTTCGAAAGGCACAAAACACTGTGGTTGTCAGAAACAGATGCTAATGCACATAAATTATTGTTGGTTAATGTGAATACTTTTCAAAAAAATAGGTAATCGCTTCCTAGATCGACCACAACTGGCAGCCATCTTTTGAGAACCGGCCCAAAGAATTTGTATCGCAAATAGATCCACTGATTTTTTTTTTCAAAAAAAAGTGGAATACTATTCCTTCAAATTCAATTATTAATTAGATAATACTAATATTAAATAATCTAATATTTCATAATCCTTTTTTGTTACTCATTCATTACAAGCATACAACTTTTCTCTATATTTCTATGCTGAAATATCAGCAAAGAAGCCATTATTGCATTATGTAAACATAAAAAAAAATTGCTGCCTTAATATGCAATAAACTTTTTTCCAAGTACTCAATATCACTATCAAACTATCAACGACTCCTTCGCAACTTTGTACTTTGCAACGGCAATAATGATAATGAAATCTCATACATACATACATACATAAACTTCTAGCACTAGCAAACATTGGAATTTTGCGTTCAATGTCCTTTGATGTGCCACAAGTGCATTTCAATTAGGACTGAAGGACAAAAAAAGGGAAATTCAAGCAAGAGTGAGAGTGAAATAGGGAAAAATAAAGTTGCTGCGAACGTAACTTATATGTACGACTATGAGTCTGCAAGACAAGTACATCTGGAGGGCTGTCCCCTACACTCAAACAGTAACATATGCTGCTCTCATATTTTATTTTATTTTTCAATGATACGTAAAGTGTGTTATACGCTGCAATAAAATAGGAAGAAAGTAGGCGCAGAAAATACGAACTAATTACTGCGGATTATTTCTTACTCAACAAAATTAATAAGTAAAAATAGTTTAAATTAAAGTTTTGCTTCTTTTCATTAAACTTTTGTTTTTAACTAACGTTAAAATAAAGCTTTTCATGCTAATAAAATAGCGTTTTGTTCGAACTTGTGGTAGGTGTTCTGGATAAAAAGCAATCAAAGTGCCTAGATGTAGGCAATGTTTCTCTAATTATTGCTATATCTAAATTAAAAAATAACCCATAATGTGGGTGAAGTTTTGTTCTAAACATGATGGCATTGTCTTTTTTCGCTACCTGAAAAATTACCCTATTTCATGGCAGCGCTAGGAAATTGCTAAGATTTCGAATGACGTCAATGTGATGAAAGCACTAGCACAAAGAAACAAGATTAAGTAAAGAGTCATACATTTTTTAATTAAGTTACACACCGTTTTGCTCTAGAACTTTTTTCCATTTTGAAGGTAATAACAGTATATCTCTATAACAGAAACGCTTGTTCTCATCGGCAAAAAGATGGAACAATCGACTTTCACAGGTTTCCACATTCTCTCTAATCAAAATCATTCTCGGCCACGACCAATTTAGTTTGACGTTGTTGAAAGTAATTGCCCCTCTCTTTAGAAATAGGTCGATTTCATTAGGATTAGGCAGAGATTCACATTTGGAAATTCGTTCCATGACATTTTTTCTCGTAAACTCATCGAGCTTCATTGTGCTTCAAGCCTTTTTTCAAGTAGCTCCAAACTGTATTTTATGCAATGTAGCTTCTAAGCGATTTATTAACGCTCATATGATGGTTAGATGATTTCTTTGATTTTATTGACATTTTTAAAAATTGGTATTCCACATTAAAATTACCGAAAGGAAGTCAACGCAACTAAAAATTTTCATTGCTGACATTGCTGTTACAGTATCATGACCATACATTACATTTTCAGCTGCCTGACTTGCGTTATCAGCTTTATCGAAGAAAATTTTTGGAATATATACTATTTGCTCCTTATTGGTGTCTCTCTTTGACGTGTGTTCCAACACAACCGAGCTAAGTGTTCAAAACTTCGCCCATTATGTTTTTAGTACAAAATATCAGCTTTTAATGCCATCTAGCATAATCTAGTAGCGCATAACATGGGATACAGATCAATAAAGACATCCGTTGCAATACAAAAAATCGATAACATTTTACTTGACCTAATATATTTAGAACAAATAAGTTTCATTTTGCTCCTACATGCGGTGTGTGTCCTCACTGCATATCAACTGGAAATCCTAGATGTAGGCAACGTTACACTTCATCGCTTCCTAACGGCTGATGGTTTTTTATGAGTAGCTTCATTTCATATCAGAAATGCAATTCAATAATTTATTTAAATTAATTTTCTATCACGTTTGGATGCTGCTCGTAGCAGGATTTTGAAAAGATTTTCCTTTTTTTTATGGCGCAGAATTTATGTTCAAAAGCATGTTTTTTTAATTATAACATAAATAAAGATTTTTCATTTTAATAGCATAATAAAAATAAGATGCATGCACTCTCACACTTTAAAGCACACATGTGTGAAGATTTATGAAATATGTGTAGCTGCAACGCCTACGCAATTTTTCTTATTTTTATGCAAACCACACACATTACCACAACCAACAACCTTATTGCATCACTCTGCTCCTGCCCTCTCACTGAAATGCGTTACCAAAATTCTGCAATGTGTGTTTATTTTTAGGACAAGGACACTGAACTGACAACAAACGATAAATTTTAAGGACAGAATTTCACAAAATCTGGCGCGTAAGCAATGCAAATGTAAACTGACATCTTTGGAATTCGGAGAGCCGAATGCGTATGTGTGTTGAAGAATGTGGCAATGCAATCAGTTAGATGAGTACTAATGCGTATGTTTATATGCATAGGCTACATACATACATATATACACAGTACACATTTGATATGCTGGCTTGCATTCTTAAGTGTATGTATGAAGCACTTGAAATTACAGTTGTTCAGCGCGTAATTATGACGATTTTGTATGTCAGTTGACAGCAGTCAGTTGCAAAACACGCCGAATGCTTGGTACATCAGAGAGATTTTAAGACGTAGATGAAGACTTATGGATATACGTCTTACATATATACGTTATAAGTATTTATACATCAGCAGGCATTTTTTTATTAACCTTATTAAAATTGCATCTTGAACTGCTTTAAATAAGAAAGACAACAACTGCACTCAGAAAGTTACTGAGGTTGGTTTTTGGTATTCACTGTTACTGCCAGCTAAACTTTTGTGTGAACTTATTTTTGACAATTTTGTAAGGTGTATTTTGCTAGACTTATCCATAGTATTCACTTGTCAAAAATAAAGCTAAATATTTCAAAGATAAATAGTCAAAGGAATATTACAGCAGGAATAAAAATTCATTCTGTGAAAGCAAATCTGGTTCTATTCACGAGAAAATGCAAAATTCCACCTTTGATCGAACCAAAGCCTGGGGAAGTCAGTTTACTGCTGAAATCAATCACTCAGGGCTTGGGAATTGTGTTGAGTTACAGGCTGTTGTGGCGACTCAATGTAAGGAAGCGAGTGAAGCAGACATGCAAAAGGATATTCGACAGCACTCGGAGTCTTTCCACGCAATCTTCCACTGGGTTTTCGTTGCGTTCATTAAGCTTATACTTCTCTACAATGCTTTGATATTATGGAAGACCATCGAGGAGATAATATATTTGGATAGACTGGAAGGGACCTTCAGACTTTCGA